AGTCACTTAGGTAAACAAATTTACTTAATCACGCTAAAAGTCCCAACGTCTGTCTCATTGTTCGACTGCCTGTATGATTAATGGTTATTTTGGTAGCCGTACTACTCCTGCTGGGTAAACCGTTCATTAATACACGCCGCACTAAATAATATACGCCTTTTGATTAAAGAGTACTCGTGCGATTTATTTTTGATATTCCAGTAAAATAAATCTATCGACTCGTGAATATCGAAAAAATAGAAATGCCAATAACTGCTTCTAATTTCTCATGGTTTGGTGCAGAGTCGCTTAAATGTAGGTGCAAGAATACTCAAATTTGAGATGCTCTTTGTTATGTTTTGTTTATGCGAACATCTGAAATTTTGCGGTCACTTTAAAATTCGTCTGATCTAGTACACATGGGCTGGCCTTAGGGCTATGTTCAGACTCAGTTCCTTTGCTCTCTTTGGAATACATCTACTCAGCTTCATTTGCTGCCTTCTTCCACCCTATGGGGAGTCTCGGGATGCTATATCCTTGAATGTGAAAACATTAGACGTATAAAATAGGTCTGGTTACTTCAGCTTCCTAGTCGCACTTGTAAACAAGCTTAGCTAGCACTTCAGCAGACCGTAAGAGAAAAATGGAGTCTTGTCATGATTATGGAACCTGTCCACTCGACGGAGGCAATAAGCTCGCTTTGGTAACCGCAATCGATGCCTGCCTTGGGTTTCACAGCAACCTAAGAATATCTTTTAATTCAAAAAGTTTTAAATTCGTTGGAGTTACCTAGACTCTGCATTATTTCGACAAACCATTTTAAAATATTAGGTCTCAACACCTTCTCGGTTCTTATTTTAAACTCTATTTAACACATATCTTCATTGTGATGTATGACTGCCGTTGCGCCATCTCTATTGTTATTGACGCGCCACTTTCAAGGCGAGCAGCAGTTGCCTTTTGGTGTCATTAAGACTGTGTTAGGATTTTCGGTGGGCATTGATTCTCGTTTTTCTCCATATCTCTGCTATGAATTCATTCTTGTAACGTTAAAATCACCAGATGCCCCTCATTCTAGTTCGTTTCCATCTGTTGCAGGATCTGGCTGGCTTTTGTTTACTAAATTCTGGTTGGGTGTTGTTTGCCGCTTTGGTTTTTCGGTTAGTGATTTCGCTTTGAATGTGCCTATTTGTAGGATTTGTTCGTGTTTCATGGTATATTGTGAGGGTATTTTACATCGACTTGGCCATCTATGTTTATTGTATTTTTCGTATTACACCGATTTGCATTTCATTTCCCATTGTTGTCCGATGTCTATTCCTAACTTTTCGATTTATTCTAAACTTCCAGTTTCAACTGTTTGGATCCAGAAGGATTTTTCCGCTTACGCCATCTTTAAAATTTCAATCGTAATCAACTTTTCGATACTTTGTGTTCTTCATGCCTAGATATAAGTGCCTGCTGTTTGCCTTAACATCATATCATTTTGGGATCTAGATCGCACTAGAGTGGCGGATCTTCTGTATTGAGCGTCTGTGTGTCGATCATGCAGTCAAGCCAAGCCAAAATACATAATGAAAACAACCAGGATGATGTTGAATCTCCTGCTCCACGGCATAAGATCCCATCAATCAGTCGGCACGTGCGTTTCCCTGAGGGTGATTCCATCATTCTTGGCTGTCTGGAGCCATTTCGTCCAAGCGAGTTATTGTTTTTGCTGGCCTATTATTTCTCTATGTTTTTAATTCGTGAATAAGTCGATCTTTCTGCAGCCTACATTGCAAAAGTTGTCTTTAGTGAACTTAGCACAGTAGAAATAGGGATTCCGGAATGACTATTTGCCAAAGTATTTCGCTACTTTGTGAGTTCGTGACACTGCTAATTGACGTTTTTATTATCATTAAGCTCCTGACAATTGCACTAGCGATGAGTTGATCGCGGCATACATCGCTTCATGTAAACTCTACAAGACGCCTACTGTGGATTTTCTGCTTGAACAACTGAGGGTGAGTTACTTTGATGGAGGAAATGATATATTCTTCTAATTCACTACGAAATAACTTTCCGTTTTCTCGGAATAGCATTGTTTACTCACCTCTCATTATTGCGTGTATGGTCAACTAAAATTGGTGACTTCCAAGTTCCCTTATTGATATGTTGGGCGCTTATATGACTTTCCATAGAGTTAAAGACCCTACCAATTTAGAATAATTTTTTTAGCAAAGACCTGCAGCTTTCTGACATCCCTTTGTGTCTATCTATCTGCTCTTCTGCTCTTCCAGTTATTTAAGGTGCAATGTTACGAAGGGTGGCAAGGTTGAATATCATGTTCCATTCTTCAGTAATTCTCAATAACGGTTTTTTGCGGTGTCAGTGGTGGGAGCTTGTGTTTTTGGCCATTCATGAGACGTCTTTACTTCCAAATTTTTTCTAAGTTTTATTTGGAGTATGCGTATGCTCTTGGATTCGTTTTTCTCCAGCTACTATTCAGAAGCATTTTTACCATTCCTGACCTTTCAGCGCCTAAGGAATTTGCTTTTTGGAGCATGTTATTCTCTTAACAAAAATCTTTTCGTCGACACCTTCCATTTGCATTTACCATTCTAGGGTGTTTGGTTTGCCACATTTTGGTACTTTTTCTCCTACAGGGAATCGATCTTTCCATTTGTAATGAGCGTTACAGTCGACTTTGTCTACGAGGTATGTTGCTTTATATTCCAATATGGATGCGTGAATCCACCATTTGCTCTTCTTTGTTATTGTCTTCCTCTATCCCATTGCGTTCTATCCACAACTTCATAACCCCTAAGCATTCCATCCATCAATATGAGAAGACTTAGTTTTAGTGGCTGAAAACTAAGTTCTTCTAGTGTCTATTTCAACGAATATCCACATTTCTCATTGTAAAAAAATTTGGACCAAAAAGGATTGGGAATTGACTGAATCGATTTTTGATGCACAAACGTGTGTTATTGTGTGACTCATTTTAGGCACGAAACTCAGTCGATTCCAGATTGAGACTCTAGAAGAGGTATTTCGAAGGGTCCATTTTCAGGAAGTTGATCTGGAAGGCACCTTCCTCGACGAAGCTGTAAGCTCCTTTCATTGACCTCACTTTGGTTTATTCAGTCCCATTTTAACCCTTCGTTCTCTGCTATTCCAGTCAGCCACGGCATTATTTGATATGATGCTGCACTACGAAACGTGTGTGGAACTGTCCATTTCTTTGAACCTGGAAAAAGTTGGTCCTAGCATTGCTTGGCCCCGATGTATAACATATCTTCGGAAGGTAATTTTCTCAAACCTCATCTTTCATGCGCGATGTTAGATACTTTTAGGCTAGAGATGTTCCGAATTCCGCCATCCAGTACGCCCGTTTGGTAATTCTGGACTGAACTATTCATTTATTTGTATTAAATTTTATGCGAAGAAGCAAATGCGACATGAGAGTTTGATTTGGTTACACTCAGTCAATTTTCTCATCAGTCAAATATCACATAATTGACAACTTTACTTTTGGGTCGTAGAAAAAGCATTTGCTTTCCAACTTCAATAGATCGCATCAATCGTATGGGAGTCTGTGCTTAAACTATGGCAGCACTTTGTATTGAGATCGTTTAGGCCTCATTGTTTGTCTCACTTCGTGGAATGATAGCTGAATGTATTTTCAACATAGGTTCTCACAGCCTTCGTTGTCGTAGCAACGGAATGGATTAACAAACCTGCTCAAGTAGCGCACTTTATTTGCAGTTATTTTGATTGTACCTTTCATAAAACACACCTAAACAACATTTCACTTTGTGTTGACTAATTTGTGTAGTTCATCTTTTTTGAGTGTCCTTAAAGTAAATTTATAGTTTCGCGTTGCTTGGGGAAAAGTTTGTCAACAGTGTAAGCTAAACACAAATCGCGTTTTTGTGTTGGCCTAGATTCCCATTTGTCTTCCCATTTTGAAAGCTACTTTCAGTGTATGCATTGTGCGTTTGTGACTACAAACTATGTGATGGAATGTTGCATCTATATAATAGTATAAATGCTCTTTTGCACTGCCTTGACAAAAGTTGTTGGGCTTTTCACGATTTAGTTGGTTTTTTCTTTGAAATGTCACGCTTGTTTTAACTTGATTATGCGCTATATTTTGTTCTTGCGTACGGAAACCTAAGGGAATTGGTAATCATTTTAGGGATTGTAATTTAAACTAAAACATTATATGCATTCTGTTCTGCCAACAGTAGTTTCTACAATAATTTTCACACGCGATAAGCGACGAGAACCATTAATCCTGATAAATTGTACTACTGTTTGAAAATCTAATCGACGAATCCTGATTTATTTTTAAACCCTATTTCATCTTAAACTTCGGCCCAAGGCATCTTCATATTGTTGCTTTTATTCTAGCATGATTGAAATTACTATGCTGGGTGTGAAATCATAGGCGTTTACTGTGGCGGATTTTAGGCGACTTTAACAAGTGCTATTAGCTGTCTCGTACTTACCTGGCTTCTCCTTTTACAAAATTCCAGATGACTAAGGAATTCACATTAGGAGAACCCTTTCATACTAGTGTTTTGAACTTTTAAAAAGAGAAACTATCTAGTTAATAATCTTTTCTTCAATCCCGAATTCTCGATAATCATTCAGCCCTCAGTTTAATCCATCCCAGGGACTTTATCACCTCAAAGACACTTAGAACATTGGACGCTGATGGGAAACC